TCTCTTCCTATTCTCTCAAAAATCCCCAAAGCTTCCTCTTAATCTTAGAGTTACAATATATTGCTTAGAAAACAATAAAGCTGCTTTGAGACAGGAGTATTGTCTCCAGCACTCCAGCTTCATGGTATATGCAAAATGTATATTCAAATTATTTTTTGTCGTAGGCGAGCAGGTTGCTCAGGAGTAGCAGGAACTACAAATAATAAGTCAAGGAATGCTTGGGGTCTGCTAGACCGCCTCTGAGCAAACTTTATCATGAGAGCAATCATTTATCAGAGTTAGGGTTGCCTCTCATTCAGAAGAAAGGCACAGGCTATGCTTTTTAAACATAGAGCTTTTCCATCGTTTCCTTTACCATTAAGCCTTTCTGAGGCAGGCAAACAGGACATTTGGCTTTCTAGAAAGTTTATGTTGAAACCATCTGTGTGCATCTGACCATGTTTGAAAGTGTGCTCCCGCTCCTCTCCTGAACGAAGAAATTTCAAGAAAGAAGTAGTGATAGCCGTCGTCATCTGCTCCTTGTTTCTTTGCAGGAGATTTGTATTTTGAGAAAGCTGTGAACGGTTTCCTCGCTGACCTCTTTATCAAGTGGAAGGTACATTTCCCCCCCTTACCCACTAAATGTCATTATGGCAACATTTGGTGCATATTTTTTAAAATGCAGTGGTTCTATTGAGACCCTTTAAACTATTATAGCCAAAGCTAAGATAGATAAGACTCCCAATTTAAATGACCATAATCACCTTAACATGATGAAGGGTATGTGTTAAAAACCTGGAACTAAGGTCATGCTCATGGTGCAGGTTTGTATACTTTCTTTCTAAGAAAAGGAATAAAGGCTAGGGTGCCTTCTGTTGTTGATCAGGGTCCTGGAAATTCTAGCCAGAGCAATTCGCTAAGAAGTAAGAAAAGGCATCATATTGTTAAAGATGGAGTGAGACAATCTCTCTTTGCAGGTGATAGCATCCCATGTATAGGAAATCATATGAATTCATATCAATATAGCTGTTAGAGCTAATAAATGAATTCTCCTAAGTTGCAGCACATATGATGAGCATGCAATAGTAGTTGTGTTTTTGTACACCATCAGTAGATAATTTAAAAAGAAATTTAGAAAAACAATTCCGCTCACAATAGCATCGAAGAATCTAAAGTCCTTAGGAATAAATTTAGCCAAGGAGGTACAAGATTATACAATGAACACCGTATAAAGCATTGCTGAAGGAAATCAAGGAAGACCTAAATGAATGGAAGGACAGTTCATGTTCATGGATTAGAAGATGACAGCTTGCCTAAAGTGATACGGTAGGGCTCAGGCCTACTTTTTATCGATGTGTTATCAATTATAGCAACAAAAAATGTGAATCACACTAGACAAAATAGATACATGGGACTTATTAGAAATTAACCACTTTTGTTCATCAGAGGACTTCATTGAAATGTGAAAGGACAACCTACAGATTGGACAAACATTTCGGGAACCATATGCCCAATAAAGGTCTGATAACCAAAATATATACTAAACTTCTACTCTTCAGCAACAAAAAGACGCTAGCTCAATCAAAAAATGGGCAAAGGAACTTGAACAGAAATTATTGTCAAAGAAGATACACAAGTGGCCAATCAGCATGTAAAAAGATGCTCAGTTCCATTTGTCATCTGGGACATGCAAATGCAAACCACATGGAGAATAGCAAGTCAGTCCATTCGAATAGCACAGATCAAAGAGAAGGAAGACAGCAAGTGTTTCTGAGCATGTGGAGAAACTGGAGCCTTTCCCATTGTTGCTAGAGAATGCAATGATGCAGCGGTTGTTGAAAACAGCCTGGCAGTTCTTCAGAAAGTTAGACGTGGAATTAGCATGTTGTTTGCTACTGAGTTGATTCTAACTCTTAGGGAATTCCCGGAGAAGCACTGTTCTGTAAGGTTTCCTAAGCTGTAATATTATGGGAATAGATCGGAAGGCCTTTTCTCCTGTGGGGTTTCTGGTGGCTTCCAATTGCAGAGTTTTCAGTTAGCAGTTGAACTGTTAACCACGGTGTCAGCAAGCCCCTTTAGAATTACCATATGACTTAGCAGTTCCACTCTGGCTACATACTTGAATAAATTGAAACTATAAATTCATAGAAAAACTTGTACACAAACCTTCACAGTTACCACAGAAGCAGAAACAACTGTCCGATCATGTGAAACATCCATAAACAAACGATGCATTCTATGCAATGGAATATCATTCAGTTAAACATAAAGCAACGAAATTCTGATATATGCTTACAACACAGTTGAACCAGGAGAAAAAAGAACACAAAAAAACCACTTAGTAGGTTTCCATTTATATGAAATATCTAGAATCAGGAAGCCGATAACAGAACATTAGTGGTTGCCAAGGGCTAAGCTAAAGAGGAAGTGAGAAGTGACTGCTTAAGAGGTGTAGGGAGCGTTCCCGTTTGGACTATTATTATTTAAAGAAAGGGGACTAAGACAATGTTATCTCTTGGGGGGAACAGGGTTAGAAGTTGCTTTCCATAATATGCTCCTGTGTTGCCTGGAATTGTTCATGTAAATTTTTATTTTTCAAATTATGTGATTTATGTTCCTAATAATAAAATAATTTTAAAGAACAAAGAAACAAACAAAAAAGAGGTGTAGGGAGTTCCTTTTGAAGTGTTGAAAATGTATACCATTGTAATGTATCACGTAAAGTACCTCTAATGATAATATTTTAAAAAATTAGATGCATTTTACCACAGTAAAACATATATACTCCCCAAAACTAAAGAAACTTACTGTTATCATATGGATCTGATTCCACAGGGGAACATCATTCCAATAAAAAATATTAGAAACTACTTTATATAGTAAAGAATAGAGTTTTGATGAAAGTATATTTCAATTTAAAATTATGCTTCTGTTCTGATTAGCTTTTTGATCTTGGGGAGGTATTCGGTCTATGAACCTTAGTTTCCTTCTCTGCAAAATGTAGATAATAACAAGCCCTGTCTCACCGGGGATTTTACAAGATCTGTACTTCATGAGGGGCTAAATTTTAAGTACATTTTGCCTCCTGCTCAACAATGGACTTCGGCAGCTCAGTAGTAGGTGCTCGGAAGGACAGGGGACTGGAAATACAACACTTGGTTCAGAGACCATCAAAGGAGATCGGATCCTGTTATTAGAAACAATAACAAAGCATACATTTTAGGGGTTGGAAACTTACTTACTTTAAAACTTGGACCTGAAAGCCTAGGGCAAGTTTAGACGATTGGAAAGTAAGACGTGTTTCCGATGAAGAGAGCAGGCTGAACAAAAAGCTGGAGAAGTAAGAGTGAGGCATGGTAGGATGTGCAACAGGGTTTGCACAGAGAGTAATAAGATTGGGTTAGATGAATGTCTGGCAGAATGTAGACTTCTTGTGATAGGAAGTGGGAGCAATGGAAAGATTTTTGAGTAGGGGGTCAGCATGATCAGAGGTCTGTGAGGGAGTGTAATTTAGTGACCAGAACAATTTGGTGAAGGGACAGACTGGGAATTGGCAAACCAGGTAGGCTTTTATAGTCACGCAGTTTGGTGTGATCCGGCTTTTGCGCTTGCCTGAGTGTGAGAGTTGAGGACAAGCAGGGACTGTCACGCGCTTGTCCTAAGGATGGGCTTGGACCACGTAATGGCTAGTTCAATATTGGGCCTAGGAAAACCTCCATTTCAGGTCTGACCTGGTCTAGTGGCTCTTTAGATGGCTCTCTGCTTGATTCTGTGAATGATTCTGTGAATCCAATCTATGATTGGATGTAGTGGCAGGCCACGGATTAGGCTCAGTCATTAGTTTACAGGGCTTTGCTGTTATGATTTTTTTAAAATTGGGAGTTTGATATAAAAGGAGGAACTCAAAAAGGAATTAAAATAACTTTTGAAAATGAAAATAAATACTCTGTATTGATTTAGTATGCTTTGGTGGAGGTTGTTGACTATATTGTTATATAGTTTAAAACGTACCCTAAGGTTCAACTAACTCATTAGCATCATCTAGTTAATTCCAACTTATTGCAACTCTGTAGGGTTTCCAGACTTTAGATCGTTTCATTAAGACTTTATAAGAAGTAGCATCCTCATCCGTCTCATGTGGAAGGGCTGGCAGGTTTGAACTGCTGGCCTTGTCGTTAGTAGCCTTGCTGTGCCACCCAGTCTCCTGGACTCTGTGGATCAAAAGCAAAACAAAACGAAACAAAAACCCGCACGAAAGAAAAGAAAATTCACTGCCATCAAGTTGGTTCTGGTTCATGGCAAGTCATAGCACAAACTTGAGTGTTTATGAGTTCCTTTATGAGCTCAAAATACACTGGTGACAGTGTTAGTAGGAGTCTTAGTTATTGTCTATTTAGGGTTTTGACATCCAGGTAGTGTGGTGTGTGTTCTGTCCACATTCTATCGTGGAATACTTTTCTCCCCACTACACTGGCAGAGAAAGTGGTGCTCAGCAAGTTTAGGTTACTTGCTGATCCCAAACCAAAACAAACTCACTGCCATCTAGTGAATGCCAGCTCATAGTGACCCTGTAGTACAGGGTAGAACTGCCCCTGCTAGTTTCTGAGACTGTAACTCTTTTGTTGTTTTGTTTTTGCTTTCTTTCTTTGTTTTTTTGTTTGAATACTTTTACTGGAGTTTCTTTTTTTTTAATTTTTATTTTTTTATTGTCAATTGGATTAAGTTTGTTGTTTTTTTTTATGAAAAAAAATCATTTTATTGGGAGCATGTACAACACTTATCATAATCCATACATACATCAATTGTGTCAAGCACATTTGTACATTTGTTGCCATCAACATTCTCACAACATTTGCTCTTCGCTTGAGCCCTTGGCATCAGCTCCTAATTTTTCCCCCTTCCTCCTCATTCCCCCCTCCCTCATGAACCCTTGATAATTTATAAATTAATATTTTGTCATATTTTACACTGTCCAACGTCTCCTTTCACCCAGTTTCCTGTTGTCCATTCCCCAGGGAGGAGGCTATATGTAGATCCTTGTAATCAGTTCTGTTATCACAATCTATACATTCATCCAGTGTGTCAAGCATATTTGCACATATGCTGCCATTATCATTTTCAAAGCATTCTCTTCCCACTTGAGCCCCTGATATCAGCTACCCATTTCTTCCCCCTCCCTCCCCAACCCTTGATAAGTCATAGATTATTTTCTGTCGCCCCTCACCCACTTTTCCATTATTCGTCTCCCTGGAAGGGGGTTCTAGACTGATCGAGACTGTAACTCTTCATGGGAGCAGAAAGCCTGCCCTTTCTTCGGAGGAGCAGCTGGTGATTTTGAACTGCTGACCTTGCAGTTAGCAGCCGAATGCATAACCACTGTGCTACCATGGCTCTTTTTCTAATGGCCACTAGCATAAAGAGCAGAATAAGGGTTCTCGTTCAGTGCTATCCATTTCCTCAGAATTGTCCTGTGAGGGTAACCCTCAACCATACTGCCTACATTTCTGTAAATTATCTCTTCCATCATGTGCACATTGAGGGGCTCTTATTCACACCACCCTGCCATGACGCATTTTTCTTGTACTTACATACAATCAGGTAAGGTTTTTTGAGGCTGAGTGTCGTGCTCTTGGAGTTCAGTCAATTAGTTGGTGCCTAGTTATATATTTGGTTGTTAAAGATTGGTGGTTTAAACCTACCCCACGGCTCTGTGGCAATCTGGTTCCAAAAAAGATCACAAACAAACAAATTCATTGCCACGGAGTCAATTCTGACTCATAGTGACCTTAGGGGACAGGGCAGAACAGCCCTGGTGGGTTCCCAAGACTCTAACTCTTTAGAAGTAGAAAGCCTCATTTCTCTTCTGGCTCGTGGTCTTGCCCTGCCCGCCTTGTGGGTAGCAGCCCAACTTGTAACCCACGATGCCACCAGGACCTAGGAAATCCTATCGACTTGATTGCACTGAATAAGACTGATCTCTTCCTGGCACTCTGTTCTTAGGACCTGTGGGATGTAGTTGGGAATTGCTGTCCACTTGAGATATCTCTGTGGAAGACTGGAAAGTGTGTGTGTGTGTGTGTGTGCACTCTATGACTATCTCTGTGTATATGACTAAATCCTTCAGTCATTAAATATGGTTGGGTTAGAGGTGAGGTTGGCTAGAGCAGGTTGTTGTCTTTGAGATCCCAGGAGCATCTGAAACTGAGTTTGTTGGCTTACTGGTGTTAGCTTAATTTTCCATCCACCTGTAAACACCTAGCACCGAGTTTTAGAGTCCTTGAAAACACTTATTCTTACTCTCCCCTCCCAGGCCAAATACAATTTCACTCTGTTACCTAGAGCAGCCTCTCGTTCTCATCATTTGATGGTGCATAGGTAGTGGGGGTGCCTGTGGTTCTTATATCTGACACCGTGGCTCTCTGCAGAACTGCAGTTTTGAAGAGATTGAAAACTACTGGGCCCAAGTACTAATATCATGAGCCTTAGATACCATGAGCCTCGGATACTAGGCTGATCAGTTTTAAGCCAAATCAAGAGCACGAAGACAGAGTCTCTTAATTGTGATTTGCAGCTTTGAAAGCATCTTTCACATCTCTAGGACTTCAGCTTGTATTAGTTTGTCTCAGAGTCAGGGCTTAAGCCAAGTCTTCTGACTCCCAGTCCAGTGTTCTTTCCACTGCTCTGTGTGGCCTATAATGACAAGTTATCCAATAATCAGGACTGCATTGAACCTCATGGAATTGAAAGTATTATGTACATGCAAGCTACTTCATTGTGAAGGAAATAAACTTGAGCTTTCTTTGTCTCTGATCATAATCAGGAGAAGAACTGTAGCCATGAAGTGACAGTGGTCCTGTTTTCTAGAACTTTCTATGATGCGAAATCTATTGGTGAGTAGCTCTTTTCTCATTATTTTATGTTAAACTTTCACATCCCTTGCCTGCAACAGCCAAGTCCCATTTCATTTGCTGCCCTTGTGTGATGCTCCGTCTTGCCTGCCTTTCTTGTTACGAGGACAGGGTGAAATAGAAAATAGCACTGTCTACCTGTGGATGCAGGAACAACTAATGTGAGTTGTGTGCCATCTTAAAACTGACTTTATAGATAGATTATCTTTATTTACATTTGTCTATGTGTGTTTTTAAAATCTCCAAACTAGGAGAGGGGAGATGAAAATGTGAATTTCTCTTCACAGTGAACTACAAACTTTGTTTTCTTTATTTCAGATGAGTTTCCTGAAGTAAACCGAGCCTCAATTAGACAGGATCACAAGGGGCGATTCTATGAAGATTTTTACAAGTACGCTTGGTTGCTTCATTATGGTTTCTTCTTCTTTTTTAAAAATCATGTTATTGGGGCTTCTTACAGCTCTTTTAACAATTCATATATCAATTGTATCAAACACATTTGTACATATGTTGCCATCATCACTTTCAAAACTTTTTCTTTCTGCTTGAGCCCTCATTATGCTTTTATTGTTTCTTTCCAGCCTTAAAAAAAAACACCAAAACTCGCTTAGAATTTTAGATTTACAGAGAAATTATAAAGATAAGAGAGAGTTCTCGTATGCCATTTATCCAAAAAATCCAACAGTAAACCATTACTGTCAAATTTACAGGACAAGTAGATCTCCCCAATAGAGTTACCCAGACTATAAATGTTTATAGAAGCAGGGTGCCACATCTTTCTCCCATGGAGTTGCTGGTGAACGAGGTGGTACCCCCACCCAATTAAAAAAATGATTTTTTTTCAAAGCTATGTATTTAAATTTTTTTACAAAACAACCTTACCACTTTCAAAATACTGTCCATTACACTTAATACATTTGTCAAATATGCAATTCCATTCTTGGAAACATTTTTCAAACTCATCTGTTTGGATGGCTGACAGCACCTCCCTCGTTTTTTTCTTCACATCTTCTACACCGCCAAATTGCTGTCCTTTCATGTCCCTCTTCCTTCATGGAAACAACAAGAAGTTGCACGGAGTGAGGTCAGGTAGGTAAGGTATGTGCGGCAAGAGAGGCATGCTGTTTTTTGCCCAAAACTGATGCACTAGGATGGCCGAGTGAACAAGTGCATTGTTGTGGTGGCAAAACCAGTCCCTGTCAGTAACAAATCAGTCCTTTTTTGTCACACACTGTTATGCAATCTTTTCAGAACCTTTAGATAGAAAGCTTGATCAGCAGTCTGACCTGATTGAATGCATTATGAGTCGACATTGTTGTCCATTTGGGAAATTGATGGATGTCCAGAACAAGGTTTGTCATCAATGGACACTTTACCTTTTTTGAAATGAGAGAACCACTTGCACACTTGAGCACTTCCCCCTGACCTCCGCCCCCTTAGCACTATCCTTGTAAACCATGTTCAACATCACAACAGTTTCTTCAGCATTTTTCCCTATCAGGAAACAGAATTTCACAGTCATACACTGTTCTCTTAAATAAGCCATCACAAAAAATTAGGTTTGAGCAAAACTTCTTTTAGGAAAAAATTCACTGACCAGAGGAAACCTTCCCAGGTGATGCCACTGGGTACACTAACTCGGAGTGCGTTGCTCGATGATGCTCACCTAGCTGGAAAAATGAGTACTATGAAAGCTCCACCCATAGGAGCTTTTTCCATTGTTTGGTGGTGGTGGGATATTCCCTTGTATACCACTGTCCTTACAAGTAGCATTTGAGAGGTTAAATACTGAGCCACACACTGCCATCAAGTCAGTGCTGACTCATAGTGACCCCCTATGAGTTTCTGAGACTGTACCTGTTGATAGGAATAGAAAGTGTCAGTCTTTCTCCCATAGAGTTGTGAGTGGTTTTGAACTGCCAGCCATGCAGGTCGCAGCCCAACTCGTAACCACTACACCACCAAGGCTCCAGTAGAGCTCCCTATAACCCTTCATCTAATTTCCCTCACTGTTACGTTCCATTTGCTAGACATAGTATGTTCCCTTGCTAGACATGTTCCATTTGTCAAAACTTTGCAAGTTGGTATGTTAGGATTATTTAAATTATTACTATGCTAACTGATTTAAATAATATTATTTAAACCGGACATTTATTTAACAGTTTTATTGGCATATAATTCACATATTAAGAAGAGTTGCACATTCATCACCACAACTGATTTTAGAATATTTTCTTCTTTCTGTACTTAATATTGTTAGTTTTTTTTTAAATTATTATTTCACTACTTTTCCACATCTGTACTTTTTTGTCCCAGTATACTATCAAGGATAGCACATTTTGACTTTATTTATTGTGATACATTTCAACATACAGAAAAAGAAAAGCAAATAACAATGAAACCATAGATCCATTTATTTGCTTTATTGTTTCTTTTTCCTTTTTAAAATTACTTTAAATTATGAATTTCAACTTTTAGTTCCTCTGTATATCAAAAAACTTAAAGGCATTTTCATATATAATGACATTATCACATTGGACAAAATAACAGTAATCCATTAGTTAATCTATAACCTACTGCCATTAATTAGATTATGATACATAGTTATGCTATATATGGTTTCTGAGACTGTAAATCTTTATAGAAGCAAAGAGCACCAGTTTTCTGATGTGGAGCAGTGGGTGGGTTTGACTTTCCACCCTATGGTAACTGTCCCAGGGTGATTGTTTATATTTGCTCTGCCTCTTGTCTTTTTGTTTTTAACCACAATTCTACTTTTTTATTTATTTACTTTTTCCAACAGTTTTATTGACATGGAATGCCATATAGTTCAATAGTTCAATCATTCAAATATCTCAAGGAGATTTATACAGTCACCCCCACTTCAATTCTCTTAAGTCATTAATATTGTTAGTTGTTTTTTTTTATTATTTCACTACTTTTCCACGTCTGTACTTTTTTGTCCCAGTATACTGTCAAGGACAGCACATTTTGACTTTATTTATTGTGATACATTTCAACATACAGAAAAAGCCATTTCTGTATTTCTCCCTACCTTCCTAGCACGTTAGCATACTGAACAGCTTACTGTCAATTATCCTGTAAAACTGTGTTTTTCAAATGTGTGGGTGCTAACTAGTCACCGCCACTTCCTTAACCCCCTCCATCTTACATGCTGATTCTGTTCCGGAGCTTCAGGAGGTCCTGACTCTCTGCCTGTCTGGCTACCTCCTAGGCGTGCACATCCCACTGGCTTTTGCACTACTTTGAGTAAGGAGGCTGTAGGATACTCCTGAATTGTTTCCTTTGTGGGGTTTTTATTTCCGGGAAACCAAAGGCTATTCCTGAGGGCGATTTCAGTGTGTCAGTGCCTGGAATTTGGTAATATGTAGAAAGAATTTTTGTCATCACTGAGAGAAGGGTGAAACTGGTGATAGCTCGTGGGGAGATGCTCCAGATACTATTCAGCATTCTACCAAGCACAGGACAGCCTCACCTTAACAGGGAGCTATTGGGCTCCAAGGGTCCTTAGTGCCAAGATGAAGAAGTGCTGCTCCAAAGGCCTTCCTGGATTCAGAGTAAACCTTCTTATTCATTTTGACCACTGTACATTGATGCCCTGTACTTCACATTGAGTCATGATAGGATACATTATAACAGAGCTACTGGGTTTGGGTTCATATTGTGAGATGATATAGCTTACCAGATGGGCCCCCACTGGGTTGCTCAGTGGCATGGTGCTGTAAGACCTTGACCTTGTAACTCTGACATGTGCTGAGAAGTTTACCACATGATTATTGGCATTTCAGTTGAAGGGCAGAATAGACATCAAAATGAACTTTAGAAGTACTTTTCATTTTTAGAAAGTGTTGGAACAGTTGTTTTATTCTTGCTGAAAGTATGAAGCTTTTATGTTTAAGTAAAATCCAACCACTTTGTTTATAGGAGCATTTCATCGCCTTTGACTTGGCTTGTTCAATCCCTTCCAAATAGTGTCTCTCTAACTCATTACCTGTTTATTGGCTCAGTCTGTTTTTTAAAAAAATAATTTTATTGGGGGCTTGTACAACGCATATCACAATCCATATACCCATCCATTGTGTCAAGTACATTTGTACATTTGTTGCCATCATCATTCTCAAAATATTTGCTTTCTACTTGAGCTGTTGGTATCAGCTCCTCATTTCCCCCCTCTCTCCTTGCCATCCCCTACCTCATGAACCCTTGATAATTTATAAGTTATTATTATTTTGTCATGTCTTACACTATCCGACATCTCCCTTCACCCACTTTTCTGTTGTCCATCCCCCAGAGAGGAAGATATATGTAGACCCTTGTAATCGGTTCCCTCTTTCTACCACACCTTCCCTTCACCCTCCCGGTATCACCACTCTCACCACTGGTCTTAAAGGGATCATCTGTCTTGAATTCCCTGTGTTTCCAGTTCTTATCTATACCAGATTTGTACAGTCTAGCCAGATTTGTAAGGAAGAATTGGGATCATTACTGGGGGTGGGGGTGGGTGGGAGCAGGGAGGAAGCATTAAAAGAACTAGAGGAAAGTTGTATGTTTCATTTTGCTACACTGCACCCTGACTGGCTCATCTCCTCTTTGAGACCCTTTGGGTCCCCAATCTGCACTCCCCCTCATTCACAATATGATTTTTTGTTCTGATGATGTCAGATACCTAATCCCTTCGACACCTCGTGATCGCACAGGCTGGTGTGCTTCTTTCATGTGGGATTTATTGCTTCTCAGCTAGATGACCGCTTGTTTACCTTCAAGTCTTTAAGATCCCAGACGCTCTATCTTTAGATAGCCGGGCACCATCAGCTTTCTTCACCACATTTACTTATGCACATATTTGTCTTGTGGCTCAGTCTTTTGTTTGTTTTAACTTTTTATTCTGAGTTAGGTGAGGTTTACAGAGCATATCAGCGTTTTGACACTCGTACCCATTCTGATTCAGCTCATCCATAGCAAGCTCCTCACGATGCCATGGCCTGTGTCACTTCCTTTCCTTCTTCTTGCACAACGCCTTGAACTTTGTCCTGGGTAAATCCTCCCTCTTAGATCTCAAATGGTTTTCTAAAGAGTGTGAACCTCTCTAATGAGACGGTTCTTACCCACATGTCTTTGGATGAAAATTGAGCTGTAGGCTTCAATGATGCTAAAGACCATGGTTTCAGGGATTCCTCTGGTTTCTATACAACTATTAAGCGTACTGCTTGTATCGGTAGTGGGTTTTGTTCTACGTTTTCATCCCACCTGATCTGATCCAGATCTTTTCAGAGCAATTTATAGTGGTCACCAGGCACCTGGTAGCTCTAGTCTGGTCTCAGAATTGTGGAAGTGAATGTTTTTGTGGCCATTAGTCCATTATATGAATAG